TTATTCTTGCCAGATTTTGGTATCAAGGTTATTTTGGTCTCATAAAATGTATTAGGAAGTATTGCCTCTTCTTTAAGCTTTTGAAAGAGTTTGAAAAGAATAGGAATTAAATCTTCTTTGAATGTTTGGTAGAATTAACTGGTGAAGCCATCTGGTTGTGGGCTTTTGATTTTTTGAAGGATATTTTGAGGAATTTCCTGACTGCTGATCAGTCTTTAAATTTTCCAGTTCTTCATGATTCAGTTTTGGAAGTTACATATATATTTCTAGGAACCTATCTATTTCTTCTAGGTTATAGAATTATGTGGCATGTAGTCCTTCATAGCAGTCTAATATGATCCTTTGTATATCTGTGATGTCTGTGATGACTTCTCTTTCATTTCTGATTTTGTTTATATGGATCTTTTTCTTCCTTAGTGAGTCTAGCCAGGGGAATGTCAATTTTATTAATGTTTTCAAAGAACCAGCTCTTTCTTGTGTTAATTTTTTGTATACGCTTTCTGTTCTTTATTACATTTAATTCTGCCTAATTTTTATTATTTCCTTTCTCTGCTGACTTTGGGTTGCTTTTGTTCTTTTTCTAGTTCTTGAAAATATCATGTTGGGTTGTTTACTTGATATATTTATTTCTTCTTTCTTGAGATAGGTTAGTAATGATATAAACTTCCCTCTTATTACTGCTTTCGATGCATCCCAGAAGTTTGGTATGTTGTATTGTCATTCTCATTTGTCTCTCTATATTTTTTTATCTCACTTTTTATCTCCTCTTTGAATAATCATTTTATAATCTCTGCATACTTGTGGATTTCTTACTTCCTTTTTATAGTCGATTTCTAATTTTAAGGCATTATGATTAGAGAATATGCTTGGTACAATTATAATCTTTTTGAATTTGTAGAGCCTAATTTTGTGACCCACATATGGTCTACCCTTGAGAATGTCCTATGTGCACTGGAAATGAATGTATAATGTGATGTTCTGGGATGAAAGGCTCTGTAAGTATCAATTACGTCCACTTGGTCTAATGTGTCATTTAAGGCCAATAATTCTTTTTTTTACTATTATTATTCATTTATTTTTGTTACAGATGTTTCTCCTTTTTTCCCCATTGACACCCTCCTTCCCATCCTTCCAACGCCATCCCCAGCTTTGTTGTCTATGTCCATCAGTTATGCGTACATGCATATAAATTCTGTAGTTTATTTCTTCCCTCCCCCCACCCCCTCTTCTGTGGATTGTCAGTCTGTACCTCACTTCCACATCTCTGGGACTACCCCATTCCTCAGACTGTTATGGTCATTACATTCCACAAATAAGTGAGATCATATGATACTTGTCTTTGTTTGGCTTGTTTTGCTTAGGATAATACTTTCCAGGTCCCTCCATGTCATCTCAAAGGATAAGAGATCTTTCTTTCTTACAACTGCGTAGTACTCCATTGTGTATATGTACCACAGCTTTTTTATCCATTCGTCTACTGATGGACATTTGGGCTGTTCCCTGATCTTAGCAATTGCGAATTGTATTTTGTCTGATATAAGTATGACTACACCTGCTTTTCTGTGGATGTTATTTGTTTGGAGAATCATTTTCCACCCTTTCATTTTGAATGTATCTTTGTCTTTGCAGCTTAGATATGTCACTTGAAGGCAGCATATCATTTTTTTTTTTTTTTTATCCTCACCCAAGGACATTCTTCCATTTTCTGTTCAGATAGAATGGGAGGGAGAGAGAGGAAGAGAAAGAGAGAGAAACATCGACGTGAAGGGACACAACGAGTGGCTGCCACCCGCACGACCAACTAGGGTCGGGGACAAACTGCAACCGAGGTACATGCCCTTAGCGGCATCCAGACCCGGGTCTCTCTGTACCGCAGGCCGACTCCAACCGCTGAGCCAAACCGGCCAGGGCAGCATATCATTTTTTTTTTTTTTAATTCAATCTGCTTCTCTGTGCCTCTTTTTTGAATTCAGTCCATTTAGATTCAGGATAATTATTGGTATATGAGGATTACCTATAGCCATTTTATCCTTTGTTTCCTGGTAATTCTGTGGCTCCATTGGTTCTTTTTGTGTGGTTTTTCTGTTGTTGTTGTTGTTGTTGTTGGTATTCTATATTTCTTTCCCTCCTTTTTTTAAAGCTATTTGTCTCAGTTTGCATTTGTGTATATTTGTGTTTGTGTGTGTGTGGGGGGGTCTCCATTAGGTTCATGAAAAAGCAAGTTTCACATATACAGTTCTTGTTTTTTTTTTGAATGCATCTGATCTCCATCCTCCTTTGAAAATTCAGATTTTTAATCCCTCCACTTTTATGTTTTTGTTGTCACAAGTTATTTCTGTTTGTGTTGTAAGTTTGTTTGTGATCATACTCATAGTGTTGTGAACTTTTGTTCTTTGTTTCAGGTAGAATAACCCCTTGTTTATTTCCTGCAATGAATGTGTTCTGTTGATAAATTTCTCAGCTTCTGTATGTCTGAAAAGGTTTTTATTTCTCCATATTTAAAAGATAACTTTTTTGGATATATTATTTGTGACTGGTAATTTTTTATTTTTAGTAGTTTGAATATTTGTTTCCACTCTCTTCTGTCTTGTAGAGTTTCTGCTGAGACATCCAATGATAATCTGATGGGCTTTCCTTTAAAGGTCACTTTCTTCTTTTCCTTGGCTGCTTTCAGAATCCTTTCTTTGTCATTAATTTTTAACAGTTTATACAAAGTAATTTTAGGGAGGGTCTTATTGGATTGAGGTGAGTAGGTGTTCTGTTTGCTTCTTGGATTCAAGGATCTAGTTCTTTCCCTAGGTCTGGGAATTTCTTATCCACTATTTGTTTGAATAGGCTCTCTGTTTCATTCATATAATAATCTAATTATCTTAATCCGATTAAATATTGTAAGCTCATAATGCTATCTGGAGGCAGAAAACACCATACTATACATACACAAACTACAAACACATCACTAGCATATCATACACATTAACAGAATTACTAATAATTGTAGAGAAGACATAAGATTTTTTATTTGTCCTTGACAACTTTTTAATTACTCTCAGACTGAAATATCAGCTTTCAATTTTGTCAAATTTCTGATTAAGTATGAAATGCTTTAAAAAGTGTTCAAATATACCATTTCTCATAATCTTCTATTTTAATAACCTTTCAAAATTTTCTACCTTGTTATGAAATCTCAACCTTACCCTTCTGCCTTTTATTTAATTTAATTATTTTTAATCCTCACCTGAGGATATTTTTCCCATTGATTTTTTGAGAGAGTGGAAGGGAGGGAAGGAGGGAGGGGGAGAGAGAGAGAAAGAGAGAGAGAGAAACATTGATGTGAGAGAGAAACATTGATTGGTTACCTTCCACACATGACCCGACTGGGACTGGGGATCAAACCTGCAACCCAAGTACATGCTCTTGACAAGAAATCGAACCCATGACCCTTCAGTGTGAAGGCCAATGCTCTAACCACTTAGCGGCACTGTCCAGGCCCTGGCTTTTAAAATTCTCTTTTTAATTAACCCAATTAGCATCTGTAGGACCCAAAAGGCTAAATAGTAATTCAAAAGTCCTAAGACAAGTTATATTTCTGTATATCTTTTTTTTAATTATGTCCTGATTTTTAAAAAAATTATTTACATTAATTTGGTTTTTTTACAGATGTTTCTTCTTTTTTCCCCATTGACATCCTCCTCCCCATCCACCCCACCCCTTCCCCAGCTTTGTTGTCCATGTCCATTGGTTATGCATACATGCACATAAGTTCTGTGGTTTATCTCTCCCCCCCCCCTCCCAAAACCCCCTCTTCTGGGGATTTTCAGTCTGATCCCTACCTGTATGTCTCTGGGTCAATTTCATTCATCAGTTTGTTTAGTTCATTATATTCCACAAATAAGTGAGATCATGTGATAGTTGTCTTTCTCTGCTTGGCTTGTTTGGCTTAGCATAATACTCTCCAGGTCCTTCCATGTCAGCTCAAATGATAAGAGATCTTTCTTTTTTATAGTTGCATAGTATTCCATTGTGTACATGTACCACAGCTTTTTTATCCACTCATCTACTGATGGACACTTGGGTTGTTTCCAGATCTTAGCGATTGTAAATAGTGCTGCTATGAATATAGGGGTACATATATTCTTTCTGATTGGTGTTTCAGGCTTCTTAGGGTATATTCCTAGAAGTGGGATCACTGGGTCAAATGGCAGTTCAAGTTTCACTCTTTTGAGGAAACACCATATTGTTTTCCATAGTGGCTGCACTAGTCTGCATTCCCACCAACAGTGTACTAGGGTCCCCTTTTCTCCACACCCTCGCCAGCACTTATTTGATGATTTGTTGATGGTGGCCATTCTGACAGGTGTAAAGTGATACCTAATAGTTGTTTTAATTTGCATCTCTCTGATAATTAGTGACATTGAGCATTTTTTCAAATGTCTTTTGGCCATTTGTATGTCCTGTTTGGAGAGGTGTCGATTTAGGTCCTCTACAATTGGGTTCTTTGTCTTCCTTTTGTTGAGTTGTATGAGTACTCTATATATTTTGGAAATTAATCCCTTATCTGATGTATCATTGGCAATTATGGTCTCCCATATGGTGGATTCCCTTTCCATTTTGATGATAGTTTCTTTTGCTGTGCAGAAGTTTTTTAGTTTGATGTAGTCCCATGTGTTCATTTTTTCCTTTGTTTCTCTTGCCTTAGGTGTTGTATCAGTGAAAATTCTGCTGTGTATGATGTCTAAAATTTTGTTGCCTACATTTTTTTCTAGAATTTTTATGGACTCACAAGTTGCATTTAAGCCTTTTATCCATTTTGAGTTTATTCTTGTGTATGATGTAAGTTGGTAGTCTAGCTTCATTTTTTTTGCAAGTAGCTGTCAAATTTTCCCAACACCATTTGTTGGAGAGATTGTCTTGACTCCACTGTATGCTCATGCCACCTTTGTCAAATAGTAATTGAGCATATTGTCTTGAGTCAATTTCTGGGTTCTCTGTTCTGTTCCATAAGAAATATGGAATGCTGTCACAAATTGGCATGTCACCTTTGCGCAGGGCCATGCTCTTCTTCTCTGTATCATTCCAATTTTAGTATATATGCTGTTGAAGCAAGCACCTGATTTTTTTTACAGTATCTTCAAATATCTGAAGTTAAATAGGAAGGGGCGTGAATGGATTTTATATTTGTTCTACTTTCTGTCCTTCCATCTTACTAGGGTGACTTAATGGTTAGTTATTGTAACAATATGAGAGCTCTGTAATATTTAGAAATTTGTTTAAAATATGTTTTTATAGATTTTTTTAGAGACAGAGTAAGGAAGAGAGAGATAGAAACATTGATGTGAGAGAGAAACATTCATCAGCTGCCTCCTGCATGCCCCCTACTGGGGATCAAGCCCACAACCCAGGCATGTGCCCTGACTGGGAACTGAACCAGGATCTCTCAGTCCATGGGATGATGCTCAATCCACTGAGCCACACCAACCAGGCTAGAAGTTTTTTTGTTTTGTTTTGTTTTGTTTTATTAATGCTCACCTGAGGATATTTTTTAATTGACTTTTAGATAGGCTCTAACTGCTGAGCTAAATCAGCCAGGGCTAGAAGTTTTTCTAATTCAAGACATCCATTGTTTGGCTAGAGACAGTAGGGTTTTAATAGTGACTCAACCAGTAAGCCTTTTACAGCCTAACTACAGAGCAAAATACTTCCATTAATAGCACAAAGCAAAGAATGCAGACCTTCCATATCCAGACATGTATTTCCAGAGTTAGCCTCAGATGGGGAGCCTGTCTCTAAACAGCTGTTCCAGAAACACAGGGAGCCACATGCTTTACCCCCTTTTGAAGAGAATGAAGTTTAATGTTTCCTAAGCTTGAATCCACAGCTGTTCAGCTGCCCACCCGATGCACGTGCAGCGTCCAGCTGGCAGGTAATAATCCATCTCTGGGAGCAGTGGGATCAACACATAACAAGAGACTCAGAACAAGTTTTTACCAGAGTTGCATTTGCCCAAGAAACTAGTTTCACAACTACTTTCTCCTGCTAATCTAAATTTAGAAGAAAGAAAGACTCACCATTTCCAACTTCTACATAACCCCACAGATGAGAAATCAGAGATGCTGACAGGGCGAAATGCTACTACCTCTGCTGGCTGTGGTCAGACCTCTGGGACTTCTCAGCTGGGGCAGTCCAGGGGCCAGCAGTGTCGCAGCCAGTAATGTTCCTGGCTGGATTGCCAAAATGTGGGGCTAAAATATATATACTTTTTAATCTATCTTCTAAAGTCTTCTAGGCTGGGATAAAAATCAAATTAACAGAGACAGATTAACAGGAGAAAATCAAGGTTTTAATGCATGTGCATGGAGAATCACATAAGTGTGAAAATTCCAAAAATAGTGAGGTAACCCTGCGGATGTAAGATATTTTGGACAAAGATAAAAGCAGAGTAGGGGCAATGGATTATTAGATTTCAGAAGCAGAAATGGGCAATTTACAGGCAGTTGAGGAAGAGTGGGACACACATGGCAGGAACATTCTCTCTGGGCAGCTCAGGCAATGGGGCACAGGGGCCATCTAGCTAGTAGGCACCCACCTGATTCCCTCCCATTGACCACACGAATTCATATCAGGATAAGGGGATGTCTACGGTCTCCTTACTAAATCAGGGGTGAGGGAATCAAAGGCTCCTTCTGAATATTGTTTCCTAATAAACAGCTTAAAATTAAAATGTCAAAAGGCAGTTCCAGGGTGGTGGAAGTGTGGCTCCCTTCGATGTGTCAGGAACTATGTTAGGCTCATTAAATTTATCTTGTTATGTCCTTCTAGCAACCTAATGCAATACTTCTTGTTATAACAATAACAATGATAATAGTAATTATTATTGTTTACATTTATTGTGTGCATTCTATGTGCCATATACATAAGTACTGTTCCAACTGTGTGTGTGTGTGTGTGTGTGTGTGTGTACAAGGAGGGGGAGAGAGAGAGAGAGAGAGAGAGAGAGAGAAAGAGAGAAACTCATTTAATACTCCCCAAAATCCTATTGGACAAGTGATTTGTAAAATTCTTCCCCCTATTACAGATGATGAAACAGGTCAAGATAAATTATGTCATTTGCTTGAGTTCATGCAACCAGTGGTAGAGTTCTGTATTCAAACCCTGCAGGTTAACTCCAGAGCTTGTTTAGTGAGCCACTCTGCTGCTGGGTCATAGCTAACACATGGTAAAATGGAATTAAAACCAGGATAATTTAGCTTCTCTGTTTAGCTTCTAAATTGAGGTTAAGGGTTTCAGTAACTAACCAAGGTTGCAGAGCTAGGAGGTGAATAGAAGCCAACTTTGCACATACATCTGCTGATTCTAAAGACATTCTGTGTTATCTCTACCTTAGTGTGCTTTCCTGGGCTCAGTCCTTAAGGACACTGTAAAGAGAGAAAAAGTTTCCTTTTGTAGTGGGGCCCTACACTACTTGGAAAAGGGCAAAATTTTCGGAACCTATTTTAAACACCATGAAGGCAGAAACTATACATAGCAGTCACTCAATAGAAAATTGTTGATTTATTGACCAGTGTGTTTTCAAAAATACAGATGAGTTTTAGGGCAATTCATTCAACAGGTGCTTAAGCAGGGACTGCAAAGGAAATGCCTAGGAAGGTATCACAAAGGAGTAAAGTAACTCATGGTACAAAAGCACAAAAGCACTTTTAGATATTTTTACTCAGATTATCCTCACAGCCCCCCGCTCCACACTAAAGTGCAGAAAAGTCACACAGCTAATACAGGAGTGGGGACTCAAATCTATACAATGTGACTTCAGGATGAGCACTACTGTCTCCCATTTTTGGACCATGTATATGCAAGTGTGGAGCTGAATGCAAGTAAGAGAAACATAATGGTGGAATGGAGTTCTCCAGAGAAAATAAAAATCTCATAGTTTGTTGTGAGCAATTAGGAATTTAATAGAGGGTGCCTAGATGTAACTATGGCCTATCTTAAAGACTGAGCAGTGTAAGTGTTGCCACTGAAAATGGATTCTTGTAGTGTTGCAAGGAAGGAATTCCAGAGGGCACATGCATGGGAGAAGTTTAAACACAATGGCAAGATTTATTAGGGAGAAAGGAAATAATATGCCCTTGAAGATGCAGAGGACAGGCAGGCTCCAGTAGAAACTGCTCCCAGATCCCTAATAATCCTTCATATGTTTTCTTGGTTTTCAGGAACAAGCAGTCTTGTCATTCAAACTATCCAATCTACTCCCTGGATTTTCCCAGGCTTGTGCTGGGTCCACCCCTTAACCAATCCCTTTCCTAGATCTTTTGGGCTTCTGTACCCTATCTAATCTGATACTTTTTTTTTTTAAATATTTATTGTTGAATGTAGAATGTATTACAGACGTTCCACATTTTTCCCCCATTGACCCTCTCCTCCTCACTCCAGCCCCCCTCCCGCCTTTTCCCACACTATTGTCTGTGTCCATTGGTTATGCATATAAGTTCTTTGGTTTATTTCTTTCCCCCCCCCCCCAACCCCTTTCCCTTTGAGGTTTGTCAGTCTAGCAATGAATTTGTACTTCTTAATCCCTTCACCTTTTTCACCCATTCCCCCAACCCCCCTCCCATCTGGCAACCAACAAAATGTTCTCTGTATATATGAGAATATTTCTGTTCTACCTGTTCATTTTGTTTGTAGATTCCATTGTTGATAGAAATGTATTCATTGCCATTTTGTTTGTTCATATAGTTTATCTTTTTCTTCAAAAAGACCCTTCATCATTTCATATAATAATGGTTTGGTGGTGATGAACTCCTTTAACTTTTGCTTGTCTGGGAAACTCTTTATATGGCCATCGATTCTAAATGCAGGATAGAGTAATCTTGGTTGTAGGTTCTTGCTTTTCATCACTCTGAATATTTCTTGCCACTCCCTTCTGGCCTGCAAAGTTTCTTTTGAGAAATCAGCTGACAGCCTTATGGGAACTCCCTTGTAGGTAATTAACTGCTTTTCTCTTGCTGCTTTTAAGATTCTCTCTTTGTCTTGAACCTTTTGCATTTTGATGATGATGTGTCTTGGTGTGGGCCTCTTTAGGTTCCTCTTGATTGGGACTCTCTGTGCTTCCTGGACTTGTATGTCCAGGAAAGTTTTCTGCCATTATTGTTTCAAATAGGTTTTCGATTTCTTGTTCTCTCTCTTCTCCTTCTGGCACCCCCAAGATGTGAATGTTGACACTCTTGAAGTTGTCCCAGAGGCTCCTTACACTATCCTCATTTTTTGGATTCTTTTTTCTTTTTGCTGTTCTGATTGGGCGTTTTTTTGCTTCCTTATATTCCAAATCGATGGTTTACTTCTTGGATTTATATACTCTACTATTGAAGCTGGGTAAATTATTCTTTATTTCAATTAATGCCTCCTTCAGTTCTGACTGTGCATCCTTCATTTCTGATTGGTCCTTTTTTATGCTCTTGAGGCCCTCCCTGAGTTCACTGATGTTCTCACTAAGTTCATTGAGCATCCTTATAACCAGTATTTTGAACTCAGCATCTGTTAGGTTGCTTATCTCCATTTCGCTTAGTTCTTTTCTTGGGGTTTTGTTCTGTTCTTTCATTTGGGACCTGTTTCTTTGTCTCCTCATTTTGGCTGCCTCCCTGGGTTTGTTTCTGTGTATTACTTAATGAGAGGTATGGGGCTCGCTGAGACCCGATGCTGCTCGTTGGAAAGAATTTATGAAAAACCTGAAGCAGGATCCAAGACAGGCCAATCTTATGGTGAAGCAACTGGCAACAGCTTGGGTGGGCCTGAAAGTTGGGTGGGGCGGGGCCACCAGTATGAGCCAGGTTGCTGGAGTCCCAGATATGGCAGTTGTCTGCCGCCCCAGGGAAGGGCTCACCAAAGGAACAAAGGCCTCTGACAGAGCGTCTGTCCCGGAGAAAGCCCCCTCTCCAGCCCTCGCTCCAGTGCCAAACAGCTCAGTTCTTCCCTGTATGTCTCTGGTGCCCCTCGAGCTGCCTCCCCTCCAAACTTAGAGGGAAAAAGTCCGATAAGTCTGTGCGCGGGCCCTTTAAGGAGCTGCCTGGGGCTCCAGCTGCTTCAGCTTCCCTGAGCCTCAGTTCCTGCTGGTTT